ACCAAGAATACAAGGCGGAGGAGGGTCAACAGGAGTCTGGGGTTGCATCTCTCATAAAGGTATTGGTCTCTGCAATACTTACACTGGTTGGATCAATCAATATAACTACAAAACAATTCAGGAGCAGCGTTTAATTCTATCAGCCCATGAATTTTTTGGAAGGCGCAAATGGATTTTTCAGCAAGATGGGGCTCCTGCACACACTGCCAAGTCGATAAAAGCCTGGTTTTCACAGAGGAAGATCCAAGTGATGCCCTGGCCTGCCCGATCGCCTGATTTGAATCCGATTGAGAATCTTTGGGGTTGGATGGATGGACCGCCAATTAATGCGCACCAAGCTGACGTCGGTTGAGCACTTAAAGCAAGCGATAGAAGAGACATGGAAGAGTATTCCAAAAGAGTTCTGCATGAAATTGATTGAGTCTATGCCTAGGAGAGTTTTTTCATGTATAAAAGCCCGCGGTGGTCATTTTAAATATTGAAATTTGAATTTTTTTGAAATGTGCTATATTTAACTGATTTTTTTTTGCTACCCTTATTTTTTATGTCTACTTGTTTTCTTTCATTTTTTTTTTATTTTTTTGCGATTTTTTTTTACTTAAATTATAAAACATATCTTATTTAATAAAATAAAAAAAATAATTGAAAAATCTTAATCCGTTTAATTTCTATTCAAGTTTTTCTGTTGAGTATTGAAAAAAAATGTAAGCGGTTCTAAATTTTACTGAAATACTGTATATATATATATATATATATATATATATATATATATATATATATATATATATATATATATATATATATATATGTATATATATATATATATATATATATATATATATATATATATATATATATATATATATATATATATATATATATATATATATATATATATATATATATATATATATATATATATATATATATATATAAATGTGTGTGAGTGTGTGGTCACTAACACAGTTTATATATATATATATATATGTGTATGGTTTATATATATGTTGTATATATACAGTTTATATATATATATATATATATATATATATATATATATATATATATATATATATATATATATATATATATATATATATATATATATATATATATATATATATATATATATATAATTATATTTAAATGAATAAAAACAACTGATTAGCTGGACTTAAAGTTTCATGCCCGAAGGCAATCATCAGCCGTTAATACAAACAAAAAATTTAAACAAACCGTTACAAAAACGTAAAAATTACTGTAGAATGACATCTGACGTTATAAACAAATCTACGTAAAAAACAAATCAAAAAACAAAAAACCGTTATAGCTTATTAGTCCCCTGTGTCAAATAAAGATAATAGGAATTTTTTTGAATGTCGACACTGAGATACGATTTCGTTTTTTTTATTCAGTAGGTTTTTTCCATTATGCGATAAAATTACATATTTTTCGTAGAGACAAAGGTGGCATATTTTTGTTGCTAGATTGTAAGGTTTACAACGTTTGACAATTTTCCATTCTATAATGGGCTTTATGTTTTGGTCTTTTAAACTCCATATTTCCTTAAATAGTTCTGTGTCATTTCTATATTTAACTGATGCAAATGATTTGAGATGGTTTGCGTATCTTAGTTTAAATGGTGTAATACTAATGTCAAAATATACTTTTTTATTACGATCATGATGACTGGAACTTACGGTTGCTTGATAGACAATATTGTTAGATAAACATTGATTGTTCAAAGGGCAAAATGCTTTATCTACGCAGTTACATTGGTTGGTTTTTAATTGATTTTTGTTGTGTAAAATTTTGAAATTATGCGAATTTATGATAGATTTTAGGTTAGGCATGCAACTGTAGCTAAAATCGGCATACAAATCGAACCTTACCTACCAACCACAAATAATCTCAAGTCAAAATCAACAAAAAAAGCAACGTAAACGTAATATTATTTGGTATAACCCAAGTCCAGCTAATCAGTTGTTTTTATTCATCTAAATATAATTATATATAGCTCTATTATTCAGTAATATTGAGCACTGTAACACGTACAAGAGACTTCGTATTATTACATCAAAATACTTAACCTCGAATATATTCTATATATCGAAATCTATACAAATATATATATATATATATATATATATATATATATATTTGTAAAAATATATATATATATATATATATATATATATATATATATATATATATATATATACATATATATATACATATATATATATATATATATATATATATATATATATATATATATATATATATATATATGTATATATATATATATGTTATATATACACATGTATATACATTATATATGTTATATATATATACAGTTACATATATACAGTTTATATATATGTTATATATATACAGTTTATATATATATATGTGTGTGTGTGTGTGTGTGTATATATATATATATATATATATATATATATATATATATATATATATATATATATATATATATCAGGCTTTCCCAGGAAAGGCGTGCGGTCGCCTTGTTTGTCCACGCATAGAATAAGTTTTTCAGAAAACGTGACCGCGGCAATATTTCGTGTGAAAGCGGAAATTATTCACAGAGAATAAAGAATAATATTAAAAAAAGGAAAACGAAGTCTAAACAAAGTATAAAATTGAAATTGGATGTAAGAAAAATATTTTGATAATAAAAAAAAAAATTAAAAAAAAAAAAAATTCTTGTAACAAAAAAAAAAAAAGTCTTGAACATTTTTTTCAAACTTTTTATACTGTTTTTGTTTGCTTATTTAAGGGTTGCTATTTTCAGCTACGAAATTTGATACAAGTCAAGGGAAAGACGACGATAAGTCGTAAAGTTTTCACGAAAATAAAAAGACTTGATACGTAATTTATTCACAAACTTTATCAGACAATGTATTAAAAAACTGATTCATTATTTACGCTAGACAAATTTGGTTAAACTTTTTCATTTACTTTAGTTTTTACGAAAGTTTATGTAAAGGCGTTGACTTTATTCCCCAATACTTTGACAAGAAAATAAGTTGCTGTTTTAATTATTAAATATATTATTTCAGATTTTAAACATAACAAAATTTTAATGTGAATAAAGTTCTTTCTCGACTTATTCTAAACTGATTATACTGAGTCAATGCTTGCCTTTTATTACGTTGAAATTATTCAATTGCATAATTTTGTAATTACGAAAGAAGTTAAAAAAATAATTGCATTGCTTCTGTTGTCATTGTTACGAAAACAGTTCCTTCGGGACATTATTATATATTAACACTCGTTCACAATGTCAATTAATGATTGCAAAATAAACAACTCAATCGTTTGACAATAAAATTTTCTTTTGTTTAAAAAAAACAACAACATATTTTACAAATAAATAGCAATCGTTTTCGTGTTTTCTTGCGTATCAATACATTCAAACATTTAAATCAATACACTTAAACATTTAAATGTATTTACGAAACATTTAAAAATTGTTTATAGTTCTATCGTGAATTTTAAAGTATTACTGACTGATAAAACTTTTATCATAAAAGTCATAAACAAATTTACATTAAAAGGTCCTTTTATTTTCTTTAGACATTAATCTTTTTCTCTTTGATTTGATTTTTCTTATTAATTTGATTTTTCATAGCTAAAATAACTACCACCCTAAAAAAATAAATAAATAAAATGTAGGTAAATTTTTTTTTAATAATATACATTAATTTTTTAATTTTAAAGCACAAACAGATTTCCGTTATTTACTTTAAGATTGCTTGCATTTTTGCGGTATTTTCGTTTAGCTTTGTTTTGGCGCGAATTCTTGAAACGCATAATAATAAAACGTGGTCAGTTAGTCAGAAAAATTTATTCTATGCGTGGACAAACAAGGCGTGCGACCGCACGCCTTTCCTGGGAAAGCCTGATATATATATGTATATATATATATATATATATATACATATATATATTGAACTGTTCATTAATATGAACAGCTCAAAAATGGTTTTTAAATCTTTTTCTTTTCCATCTTAGTGTGAACTACAACCTGATGCAAACAATAGTTCTAAAGATAATTATGATGCAACTAATTGCATCAATCTTCTTTTCTTTGTTTTACTTCTTATCAAAAGTATCAAAATATATCTGGGGTCTGCCAGATACTACAGTCGTATAAGAGCAGAGTTTTCTTTATCAACAGAAGCAGAATGCGTTAACATATATTCATATTATATGTTAAAGTTTAAAGTTTTTCCTTTATATCTTAAAGTAGTAACCTGCAGTGAGATGTGCGTACGTGTTTGTATAATTACAGCTTTGTGGATAAATCATTAAGTGTTTCTGTAATATATACACACATACACACATATCACAGTTATATATCAATAGTAATTGAATTAATTATAAAATCCATCTATTTATAAATAATCTTTATGTAGTATATAAATAAATAATAATTAATGCAAAATGTACATTTTTATCATTATAAAACTATACAAATAACTTGTAAATCAAATTTAAATTTTTAATTCTTTTTATTTATATATTTTAATGACTACATAATAATTAAAATAAAATAAAATTATTTCAAAATATGGAAAATGTTAAAAAGTGTTCAATTGTATTAAAATTAAAAAAAAATTGAATTTAGGGAATTTTAAGATCTTTTTAATAAAAATTTATTAAAAAAATAATCATATTTGATAATGCCGTTTGATTTTATTTTTTTAAATCTGCTCAACCTACCTCAAATATGATTTAGGAAAAAATGCATAACTATAATCGAGAGACTAATAAATGAGTAAAATATCAACACTTAAGTGATGCCAGATCAACATCCAACAACCATTTATTGTGCATTGAATTACCTATCTTTCATCCACTTTCTCATAAAATGTAGATATTTTAACTGCTTAAATTATCCCCTAAGCTCAACTAGCCCTGCCTACCTTATACTAGTCCCCTCCCCAACCCTTTAACAGAATAAAATACTAAAATACCTGTATGTCAATAAAATCAATAAAGCTTTCACTGTTTTCGTCTGTTTTTGAGAATATTCTGTTCAACATTCTTGAACTTCTTGATCGAACTGTTAAACAAACAATTGCTCCAAAAATATTTGAAATAATTTATTTTAAATTAAACAAACAATTGTTCCAAAAATATTTGAAATAATTTATTTTAAATTAAACAAACAATTGTTCCCAAAAAATATTTGAAATAATTTATTTTAAATTAAACAAACAATTGTTCCCAAAAAATATTTGAAATAATTTATTTTAAATTAAACAAACAATTGTTCCAAAAGTATTTGAAATAATTTATTTTAAATTAAGCTAATAAAATTACCTGAAGGAGATTTTTTGATAAGATGATAAGTAGATAAAGAACGAGTTTCAATGCCAACTGTTAAATTATTCGATCTTTTTAAAACTTGAATTGATGAGTTGCCTACAGATGCCTGAATAAAATAATTTTTGTATATATATATATATATATATATATATATATATATATATATATATATATATATATATATATATATATATATATATATACATATATATATATACATATATATATATATATATATATATATATATATATATATATATATATATATATATATATATATATATATATATATATATACATATATATATATATATATATATATATATATATATATATATATATATATATATATATATATATATATATATATATATATACATATATATATATATATACATACTAGATATATTAGACATAATATTCATAGTACTAATATTAACGACATGGAAAGCAGTTATGGCAAGTACAATTTTTCCTGAAAATTTAATTAAATTATCAGATATTCAATCTTTAAAATCATTGTAAAAGTTATTCAATTGGACACATCTGTGTTCTAAGTCATTAATATTTTCTTCTTATTTTTAAAATCATTGTAAAAGTTATTCAATTGGACACATCTGTGTTCTAAGTCATTGATATTTTCTTCTCATTTTTAAAATCATTGTAAAAGTTATTCAATTGGACACATCTGTGTTCTAAGTCATTAATATTTTCTTCTCATTTTTATATTCATTGTAAAAGTTATTCAATTGGACACATCTGTGTTCTAAGTCATTAATATTTTCTTCTCATTTTTATATTCATTGTAAAAGTTATTCAATTGGACACATCTGTGTTCTAAGTCATTAATATTTTCTTCTCATTTTTAAAATCATTGTAAAAGTTATTCAATTGGACACATCTGTGTTCTAAGTCATTAATATTTTCTTCTCATTTTTATATTCATTGTAAAAGTTATTCAATTGGACACATCTGTGTTCTAAGTCATTAATATTTTCTTCTCATTTTTAAAATCATTGTTAAAGTTATTCAATTGGACACATCTGTGTTCTAAGTCATTAATATTTTCTTTTCATTTTTAAAATCATTGTAAAAGTTAACAGCCAATTTATTGGCTGTTAACTTTTTAAAAGGGTAATAAACTTGAAAGTTTTTGATTTGGCGTAAGAGTAAAAAGCTTTTGGTCAATATTTTTTGCAATTTTTTTTTTTTGAATTCAATAACTCCTTTCTGCATGTTGTTTTTGTTTTGTGAAATACAATACTTGTTATATGTTTTATCACTTCTGTTTGATATAGTTTTTGTTTTTTTGTTTGATATAGTAAGCGATACATTATTTAGTATTTGATACTTGATCCATTTAGAGCGTTTTATGTTTTTGATATTAAATTTTGGTATATTGTTGTTGATATTACTTTTAAGGTTATTGTAAAAAGTATTCAATATTTATTATTACCAAAATTATATTACATTAAAATTATATTATATTACCATAAAAAAATTACATTAAAGATAACTAAAAACAGATCTAAAGAAAATTTTTAAAAAGCTGAAACTCACTACTCATAATTTTTGGATTTAACTTTTATGAATGGGAGAGCCATTAATTTACTGACCAATTATACAAACCAGAACAATATCAGAAGCTATATAGTAGCTTGCAAATAAATACTTAAAGTAAATACTTTTATTAATAAGTTCAATCAAATATTGTGAATAAGTTTTTTTATATAAAGTAGGGTACTATCTGTTGCAGAACAGTTTATTATGTGTCATCAACACCATTATGTGTCTGTAAATAGAAATTGAAAGTTCAGCTTTTTGATTTCCTTTTTTTATAAAATACAATAATTGTATATCATTCTAGAGTCATGGTTTTTATTTATACTTTGTCTAACAAAAACAATGATTTTCTATCATTCTTGAGTCATGGTTTTTATTTATATTTATGTTTATTATATTTTTATATACTTATAAAATACTATGTTCAATCTTTGGCAATGTTTTAAAACTAATTTAGGAAACTTTTAATGTAAATTTTAAGCTTGATTTATTTTAGATAAATTTTTTATATAAGATCATAAATTATTTCTTTCACACTTTTAATGCTTAAAAAGGTTTCACAGAATTTTTTTGTTTTGTTTTTAATATACATCCATATAAAATAATAAGTTTAGGTAACTGTAAAATTATTATACCAAAACAAAAATACTTACTTTTAAAGTCTTATCAACCCATATGGAGATATTTACACCAAGCTGTACAAAAATTGTAATAACAATTAAACAATTTTAAAAAGTTTAACATAACATACATTACTAAAATTAATTTAAATATTATAACAAAATAAGAACGTTTATAGCTTAAATTATAAAAAGTATATACTTTTTATAAATCAATAAGAGTATCAAGTAATATAATTCGATGATAATTTTTTTTCTTTCAATGATAGCAAACCTATACCTGTGGTATAGAGCATTATAAATAATGTCATAAATGACATCATCTACAACCTGATTCTATTATCACAACTCTCAGGTCTACAAAACTGAATGGCTCCATTTGCCACTTTTTGAGATCTTTGTGCCACATAAACAGTTAAAATTTATTCTTTGTGGCTGGTGAGCCCCGACATCTTCCAATGTACACCACAACAATAAAAAGGCTATCCCACTGGATGTGGTTACAACGCTTAATAACCTAATGACTACACTGACAATCACGCACACCATACTAGATGACCAAATGGAGCACACTAATGCACTACATCATTACACCTGTACACATCAACAGTCTCTAAAACCAATAGATCAAATATTTATTCTTTGTTGCATATGTCTACACACAGAGTAACTAAAGCATTAGTTGTTTCTCCCTATGTCTCCTTAGCATCCATTCTTTGTTCTTCTACTTCACAAAAGTCTTGCCACACATTTTTAATTTTCTTATGATTTTTATTCAACAACACAATCTACAATCTGTTTTTATTTTCACATCTCCCAGGTCTACGTAATTGTACGGCTCCGTTGGTCACTTTTTGCAACCTTTGTGTAGCATGAAGTTTAACATAACATACATTACTAAAATTAATTTAAATATTATAACAAAATAAAAACATTTATAGCTTAATTTATAAAAAGATAGAGTATCAAATAATATAATTCAATGACAATTTTTTATTTTCAATGATAGCAAACTTATACCTGATTGTCAAAGTGGTATGGAGCAACTAATTCTGTTTTTACAGGATTCCTTAATGATTTTATTGAAAACCCCTAAAAATTAACTAATAATTATCTAATATGAATGATATTAAATTTATCTATAAAAATTTATAAATAAGATCAATATTTAATAAAATTAAAATTTTTTTTAAAAACAACTTGTGAGTTATTTTTAAGTAACAACTTTATTTTGAATATATTTGAAAGAGTTGTAAATGTAATAGTTAAAAGATATATAACTCAGAAATAATATGTAATTCAGAAATATACCTCAGAAACAAGAGAAGCCACCTTTAAAAACTTGCTTGTTATGGTTAGTTGCAAAATATTATCTGAACTTATAATAAAGTGCATAATATCCCTTTTGAAATCTTTTGTATCAACCTGGTCATATTCTTCTCTAAAGAAACATAGAGAATTTAAAAAGACATTTTAAAGCAAAATTTTTCCATTTAAGTTTTTACTTAACAACAATAACAAAACAAAAAAAAAGATCAAATAACATGTAAAAACGCAACACTTGGCTTACATCTTTTCTGATTTGATTTGAACAAAAGTTTTGGATAAGTTGAGCTTTTTATTTTCACAATAAAAACTCTGTAATATAAAAAAGTATAAAATTAATAAACTCACAACTCACAGATGTAATCATACTTAAACCAAATCTAGCAAAATTATAAAAGTTTTAAAAATATAGTTTTAAAATAGTTAAATATAATTAATATTTAAATATAGTTTTATATGTAATTTCAAAATATAATTTTAAATATGTAGTTTTGAAATAATTTTGTTAGTTATACATTTGTTTTGATTCTATAGTAAGGTATCAACAACAAATTTTTAAAATAATTATTTTTAAAAAAAAATCATTTTTTTATTTGATATTAAAAAATGAATGATCAACAACCCTGAATGTTTAAAATATAATTTTGGTCATAGCTGACATTTTTAATACTAAATATAACAGTATAGTTAAAATGTTACAGTACTTATAAACTTAATTGTATAGTTTCAAAAATGTTTTAAAAAATCAACTTTTATAATGGCGTTTATAAAAACTTGTAGTTCATTAAATATATAGCTGGCTACTAACTCATGCATTTAAAAATGCATGCAAGTCCATTGTACAACTAAGTTACTAGGGATTTTCTCGTGTTCATCATTGAAAATATATAATCTATATAATAAGATATAATAATATCAAATTTAATAGTATTATTAAGCATTGTTAATGTAAAATACATTGTTGTAAAGAATAACTTAAAAAAAGTCTTATTGTCAAATACTTTCATTTAATGGTTTAAAAAATCATCATTGATAAATAATAGCAAGTAATCCACTTAAGTCAATAAAACTGATTGAGTATGAGATATATATATTTTTTTCAAAGTGACAAGATTAATTATTATTTTGAGTTCTATATTTTTGAAAAAAAATGAGAAACAAAACTTCAAATGGATCGAAACACAAGAAACAAAAAGCCTCTGTTGGCATGGAATGTAAGAAACAAATGTTCCCTTGCAATAACAATTACCTTGAACACAAAAAGCAATAGCTTATAGAACAATAAGTGTTCTTTTGCAATAGCAATTACCTTGAACACAAAATGCAATAGCTTATAGAACAATAAGTGTTTTTTTGCAATAGCAATTACCTTGAACACAAAATGCAATAGCTTATAGAACAAGTGTTTCCTTGCAATAGCAATTACCTTAAACACAAAATGCAACAGCCTATGAAACTCAACAAAATACAGTAGCTTATGTGCTAATGTTAAATAATAACAAATGCCCTATTTATATTATAAACTAAATATTTATGTAAATAAAAAAATATCTAATTAAAAGAAGAAAAAAAATGAAGTTTTAAAAATGAGCTTTAGCTATAAAAATGAGCTTAAAAATTGTATATAAAAAAAAAACCTCTACAAAAATAACATTACACTTAAAAAAAACAACAACACAAAAATAACATTATACAAGGAAAACTATTTACAATCATTTTAAAGAAAAAAATTTTAGAAAACAATCTATATTTTTTAATTAAAAATTTTCAAAAAACAATCTATACTTTAAAGTAAAAAAATTTCAAATAACAATCTATATTTAAAAGTAAAAAAATTTCAAAAAGCAATCTAAATTGTATAATTAAAAGTTATGAAAGTAGACTAGAGTGCAGAAAACAAAAAAACCTTAATACAAAAAAAAAAAAAAAAAAAAAAAAAAGACAAAATGTATAGTCAACTAACTTGCTGCTTATTTCAACAATAATTCCAAATCAAAAAACTAAAAAAATTCTTATATTGAAGAACCTTATTCATTTTTTCTAGATTCTACTATGAAAACTTTTTATATATATATTTTTTTTTAGTTTACAAACTGTCGCTATCTAAGTATCAAAATGGAGAAAAAAATAAAGCCATCAATCAATCAAGCCTATCCTAAAACCTTAGTAATAAATCAAGCCTATTCTAATATCTTAATATTAAATCAAACCTAATCTAATACCCTAATAATAAACCAAACCTATCCTAATATTCTAATAATAAATCAAGCCTATCCTAATACCTTAATAATAAATCAAGCCTATCCCAATATCCTAATAATAAATCAAGCCTATCCTAATATCCTAATAATAAATAGGTCTTTTGGACTAACATAACATTGGCTAACTATACCAAAGGCATTATTGCTTTTCTAGACAGTAAAAGTATCAATTATGTTCTTAAAAAAGATAATCCTGTCAACTTTCCTGAGATAAGACCAATCATAGACTTTTTGGGTAATTTAAAAGGTTTAGTCTACAAGGAAAAGTGACCATTTATCCTTGTACCATTGTAGTTCCCACTAGTGGGAAGCTAAAATTGTTCAAAAATTATTTGGAAAATTTTTTTATCACTCCAGTTTGTAGTTTGTGAGCTCTACTAAAGGAAAATTGAATGCAGTTTGCTTAAAGGATTACTTAAAAAAAAAAAGATTAACAACATTAAATGTAAATTAATGTCCAGGAAAATTTGATCTTATTTAAAAATATATATTGATACTTGTTTTTTTTTACATTTTAATGTTTTATTACAGTCCCATTTTTGAAAGAACAACAGTTAATCTTCACACATATATGCACACACATACATATATAAATACATATATTTACTGTATTCACTTTCCAAAGTCAGGAGGATGCATGTGCATTTAATAAACCAGTAAAAATAGACAGTTTGTAAAACTATATAAACACAACATGATCAGGTAGAAAACATTTTAGATTCTTGGTTACGAATATTTTTCTGATACTGTGAACAAAATTTATTTTATCACTAATCCTATACATTAAAGCCCATTATAAGTACAAAAATTATTTTGATGTTTCTTACTCTAATGTTAACTTCAAAAGAATCATTTTGGTTATTATCAGGTTCAATTACAGGCTCCCATGTTGCCAACTCATCATTAAAAAGACTTGCTTCTATTGTAAAATCAATGTCAAAGGATACCTATAATATATATATATATATATATATATATATATATATATATATATATATATATATATATATATATATATATATATATATATATATATATATAAAGTAAATGCAAACTAAAAAAAAATTATTAACATAATTGCTTGAAACCACTTAAGCACAGAAAAAAATTACATATACATTAAAATATAAAAACAGAAATAAGAATACATAAAAATGAAAAAATAACATTTATTAAAATAATAACAATAAAATTAATTTTTTCTTAATAATATCATTTTAATATTAAAGTTATTTATATTTTAATATTAAAGTTATTTATAAGGCACATTGTAAACTTACAAATTCTTTATAACTAACCATCTATCAATTATATGTATAAAAATGTGTTTTAGTTATAATTATTTTTAAATTAAATGCTTAACAATATTATTATCTTTTCTTCATGCTTAATAGGATAAAAAGATGCATAAAGGATAAAAAGAAAAAACTTAAGCATAAAAAAAACAACATGCTCAGCAAATATACTAGAATTTTAGTGAACCTATATAAACATTTTGAGCGGTCTACTATAGTTTTGCTAATTGATTATTTAGTGGAGCCTTAATGGCAGCCATTAAAAGTGACTAGCCAATGACTAGTCACTATACAACATGTTGAAAATTTTTGGCTAGCCACTTCTAGTGGATGCAACTTACAACCTTACCTAAACCAATGAGCAAAACTCTAATAAACTCTCAAAATGCTCAATAACGCTCAAAATGCTTATATAAGACCACTGCAAATCCGTTACAAAAATGCTTGTTAGGTGAGCAAAGAAAAACAATTGTAGAATGACAAAAAAAAAAAATAATAATAATATAAAAAATAAGCATGGAAACAAAACTTGAAATAAAAAATTAAACAATGAATTAAAAACATAGACAAAAAAATACTCTAGTTGACCAATCAAGTATTTTGGTAGAAGTACAAATGTTAAACTTGATAAGCGGTACAACAACTCCTTTTAAATCATTTCCCAGTGTTAACTCAAGTGCATCTAACATAAGCTGAAACTGAAATTTTATATAAAATTAATCTACTGATTTTTAAAATGAACTTGATATCAGGTGTAGTAATTGAAAACCGGGTTTGGCACATAGATGACGTTTTTTCAAAAAGTACTCAATATAAATTTTTTTTTTGTTTTTTTTTACAGCTGTAACATTCCTCTACAAAAATTAGTAGTCAATTGAATGCGTCTCATACAACAACATTGTTTTTTATTACATTAAAAATGTTGAATTTTGTACCAGAAAAGCACCATTTGCGGAAGGCTTTACTGTTTTGTTTTCATTTAAAGAAAACTGCTGCTGATGCTCATCAAATGCACGAGGAAGCTTATGGTGAACATATTCCATCGAAAACAACTTGTGAAGACTAGTTTAAACGATTTAAAAGTGGTGATTTTGATGTGAAAAACAAACAACATCCAGGTCAAGAAAAAAAGACAGCAAATTGCAAGAATTATTGGATAAAGACAATACATAAACTCAAAAAGAATTGGCAGAAGCATTAAATGTTTGTCAAAAAAACAATTTTCAATTGTTTGAAAATGGAAAAGATCCAAAAACTGGGAAAATGGGTACCACATGAATTGAACAAAAGACAGCAAGAAAGATGAAAAACCATTTGCAAAATGCTCATTCAAAAGCAAGAAAGAAAGGGTTTTCATCATCAAAGGTAATCATTACTGGAGATAAAAAATAATATAGGATATTTTTCGAAAATCCAAAACGCAAAAAATCATGGGTTTCACCAGGACAACCATCAACATTGACTGCAAAAACAAATCGATTCGGAAAGAAGAGAATGGTGCCTGTTTGGTGGGATCAGAAGGGAATTGTGTACTATGAGCTACTGGAACCTGGTCAAATGATTCATTCTGAACGTTATTGACAACAAATCATCAATTTGAACCATTCATTGATTGAAAATCGACTGGAATGGAAGAATAGACATAAAAAAGTGATTTTGCAACATGACAATGCTTGACCACACAAATCAAAAGATGTAAAAAATACATTAAATGCACTTGAATGGGAAGAATTACCACACCTGCCGTATTCACCGAACCTGGCTCCATCCGATTACCAGTTGTTTTCATCAATGTCATTGAAACCTGCAGACCAGCACTTCAATAAAGCTGAAGAAGTCAAAAAATGGGTTGATGAGTGGTTCGCCTCAAAAAACGAACAACTTTATCGAGATGGAATTTGTAAGTTGCATGAAAGATGGGAAAAATGTGTAGCTAACAATGGAAAATACTTTGAATAAACCATCTATTCTTTCACTAAAAAAAAAGTGTTTTATTTGATAAAAAAAAAAAACGGTTTTCAATTACTACACCTGGTATATAGTTTTATAAAAACTTTATAACATAATGTCAGGACCATTCATAAAAGTTATCAAAATTGGAAATCAACAGTTGTTTTTATTTTCTAAATAGGCTTTTAAATAAGGTCAAAAAAATATAAAAAATTTAAAAAAATAAAAGCCATTTAAAATAACAAGTGTGACAAACATAAAATAAACTGACAAAATAAATGTGTTTTGCAAATAAATTTTTGAAATAATAAAATATATATTTAAAAAAATGCTTAGAATAATAATTTTGCTTTATTATTTATAAATTGAAATAAATTATAATACATTGAAAAAAAAATTACATGACACATGAAACATTACAAAAATACTTTTTATAGATACTTTTATAAATTTTATTTTTCAATGATCAAATTATTTTATATAAGAAGTCTAAGTATACTAAAATATAAATATAAGAATTTACCAAAGATTTCCAGAAAATTATTACCTTTTGTAGACCAGTTTGAAAATCATTTTGTGGCGCTTTAAAAAAACAAAAAAAAAATTTACTGATACATATATAACTGTAATAAATGAATAAAAAAAATCCTCCCACTTTTTTTCTAAAGTACTTTTTTATTTTTTTTCAAAAGAAAATTCTAGATACAGAAGACTTTTTCTTTATAGAAGACCCCCACCCCCACTTTGAAATCCGTGTCGTCAGCCCTGGTTTAATAAAATATTTTTACAGGTGTTTAATCTGTAAAAGGTTATCTGTAAAGGATTATGACATTTTTGGAACCTAAAGTCCCAATGGTTCTTAAAGATAAGTTTCAGTATAAAAACACTAGAATGGACATTAATATATGATTTTATTTCAAAAATCTCCCTCAGGACCACAAAAAAGTGTTTTGGAAATGACAGAAAAACTGGGTAAATTTACTCTTAGGAGTAATAATAAAAAAAAAAATTATATTAAGAACTAAATAGTATAATACAATATTTTCACGGTTGATAAAATAAATTTCAAACTATTTTTTAGCCATTTTACACTTTACTTTTGCATGACTTTAACTGCTTGTTCAACACAAATGTTACTTCTTGGTTATTTGCATAGTTTTCACTGAATTCTTGTACAAAATCATAAGATATATTGAGTAATCATGTTGTTCCACCAAGAGTTTGATCAGTAGAATGGTTTAAGGTCTTTATCAAGGAAAAGCAAAAGAATACTATATTGGCATTTCTTGTCATGTAGTGCTCAAGAAATTCAAACCATAATGTATATACATACATTTTCAAAAAAATTTATTTTCATTGGGTTTTTTTTATCAGTAATATAATAAACTGAATTAATAAATTAGTTTAATAAATATAATTTTATTGATGAACTATATTTAATATACTTTTTAATTTCCAATTTATAAATACATATTTTGATTATTTTTAAATATTAAAAAGTCAGAAAATATTATAAAATGTGAAAGAAATCTAATTTATCACTAGAAACACATTCTGTAATTTATCACTAGAAACACGTTCTGAAATTTATCACTAGAAACATGTTCTGAAATTTATCACTAAAAACATGTTCTGAAATTTATCACTAGAAACACGTTCTGAAATTTATAACTATAAACATGTTTTGAAATTTATCACTGGAAGCATTTTCTGAAATTGTAACTTCTGCAAATTATGATTGTTTTACCAGAAATATTCAAAAATTATTGAAAATATCGCAATCAACAGTGAGTGGTACTATACATCTGTTTAAATGTATTAGTACAAATAAAGGTAAGAGATGTAGTAGATGTCCCTGCAAATAATTAAAGACTGAAGTCAAGTCAATTATACCTTCATGTAAATAAAGTAGATAATTAACAGTCCAAAAAATAACATCTTACTTTGATGCTGCTCGTAATAAAATTATTTCAGAAAGAACTGCACAAGTTGCTTTAGACTGGCAAAACTTATTGTGGACGGATAAATTCAAACTTGCGGTTTTGGAACAAACTGAATGATCTATTCATATAGATAATTTACTTCATTCCAAATTTAAAAGTTCTATCCACAGTATATACAGCCCTACTATCAAACATGGGGAAGGTTTTTATTTTTATCAGGTTGGTAATCTTGTGAAAGTAAATGAAACTCTCTACAAGAAAAGATGATCCAAAATACACATCCAAATACTATAGACTATTAGCAAAAACAAAAAGAAGCTTGCAAAAAACTTAAAACTATGATATGGCTGCCACAATCACCAAACCTTAGATTGGGTTGCTAAGAGAACAACTGGATTATAAGGTACAAAAAGAGTGCTTTACATCAACAACTTATTTATTTTCAATTTAACAACATGTGCGAAAAGATAATTCTCTAATTTAATAAGACAAATTAAACATATGACAAAACTTGTATGTGCAGAAATAAAATAGAAAAAAAATTATAACTTTATTTGACAAAAAAAAGTTATTCATTATTGTTTTTATTATGTTGCATATTTTTGTCAAATAAAACTTGTTTATTTTTAACGTAGTTTGTAATAAAATTTGGCTAAATGCAATTAGTTTTTTGTTTTTTTTATATTTTTTTATTTTTGGCAAGTGACTAGAAACTTTTGTTGGACAGTGTGTGTGTATCAGATGGACATGGAAAAATCTGGTCAACTTTAAATTGAGACTTCTTTAAAACCATAAACTCTTTACATTTTACTTTTTTAATATTAAATGTGTTTACATCAATTAGGGTTCCTTCTTAATTTTAAGGGGCTTGATGGGCTGTTTGGCAAGAGATTGAATTTTCTAGCAGTTTGATGCCATCATTTTGTAAATTTTATATTTTTTCACTTTATTTGTGGCATTATTTCACTTTTTTTGAAAGTTCTTTTTATTTTTTGTTACTCCACCTGTCTTACAAGGAACTCCTTTAACTATTGCCCAAAAATTTTCAATCTTGCACTCTTCAGGGCGATATGGAGGATTTGCATCTTTAGAAACAATTTTTACATTATTATCTTTGCACCACTGTAGAACTTTTTTAGAATAGTGAGCCGGTCCAATTGATCAGTGACAGCTTTATCTTTGTTCTCGTAGTAAAGTTGTTGACCAGGAAGTTGTGAAAAATCTTACAGTATGTTTTGTTGTCTTCAATTATGCACATACCTTTATCCATAGTTATTTTAATCAACTCCCCTGTCCGTCAAATTCCTTTAATTTTACCATTCAAGTTTTTCTTAGGTGTACTTTTCTGATAAAATGCTTTAATCCCAGCATTTTTAAGTACCTTTTTTGATATAATAATGTGAAGTCTTGAATTTTCTTGCTAGATCTTGCTATGACTGGTTCGAATTTCTTGCTATTGAACTGAGAATTGACTTTACCTTTTTGGATTTAAGAAAGCTTTTTTTTCTTCCACTTTCAGGTTTTCTTTCCAAGTTTTGAGTAGTCTCAAACTTATTTATATATATGACTGTAGATTTTAGGACGTTTGTACGTTTAGCAACCAAGAGATATAAAGTTGATGGATTTTTGCAAAAAATTTTTTAACTTTTTTACGCACCTTAATTTGTTTCAGAAATATTTTGCAAATCGTTATGAGTAAATATGAGTAAAGTTTATCAACACAGTTAAAGTTAAGGAAGTAAAAATAAAAGAAATAAAAAGCACTTTGGTTTTAGAGAAATCTCAATTTAAAGTTGACCAGATTTTTCCGAGTTATATATATATATATATATATATATATATATATATATATATATATATATATATATATAATGGCTTCTTTTAAAACAACACATTTAAAAAATATCTGCTGGCACCACCTTAATGTGTTCTATATAATAAAATAACACTGGATTTCAAAAAGTTTTAAACAAAAAATATTGTTAGGGGTTGCTACAGACCTATAAAAATTAAAAGAATCCCTATTATTATTGTTATTATTATTATTATTTAAAAAAAAGGTTTTCTAAATGTATGTCATGTTGGATCTCAACCAAAGTCTAATTATATAAAAATTTTAAAAATAATAACCATTTTACAAAAACATAGAAAACAATTGTAATATAAAATTTTAATGACTCAATAAGTAATAACAAACTGTTCAAAATAAAAACGCAAAAAATTAAATTTTAAGATATAACACAGTCTAAAAAAAGTTTAAAGCACTTTTTTACTCTAAACATAAAAAAAAGTAAATCGACTAATTATCAAAACTAAGTGTTTTGTTTTTTTTATAAAATATTAAAAATCATAATATCTAATTTTTAAAATTTGTTCTAATTTTGTTATTACTTTATATTTTGTAATTTAAATTTGGCAAAAATCATTTCTTTTTAAAAAATAAATTTTTATTTTCTTCTAAAAAATACATCAACAAGTAATACACCATCATACCAATATATGACTGTTCTTGAAGAAAATCTTTATTTAGTAACTGTGGAGACCAATTAACTTTTGTATTAATTTTTGTAGAAGATAAGCTTTCCTTTTTTTCCAAAATCTAGAAAAAAAATTTAATGAATAATTTTGTTCAGAAAAAAAAAAGAAATAAAGTTAAAGTTTAAAACTTAATTAGTTTTAAATTTTTATAAAATGTTGTTTCATCGTGTTTCGTTAATTTCCATACTTTAACATACTTATAAAACATATTTCATTGTGTTTCATACTTTAACTTTTATTAAATTTTTTTAACCAAAATAAACTTAACGCTTTGACATGTTTACATTAGCTGGAATGCGGAGTTGTCATCACCAGAGGAGAACACTCTCAATAAATGCGGGGTTGTCATCACCAGAGGAGAACACTCTCAATAAATGCGGGGTTGTCATCACCAGAGGAGAACGCTCTCAATAAATGCGGGGTTGTCATCACCAGAGGAGAACACTCTCAATAAATGTGGGGTTGTCATCACCAGAGGAGAACACTCTCAATAAATGCGGGGTTGTCATCACCAGAGGAGAACACTCTCAATAAATGCGGGGTTGTCATCACCAGAGGAGAACACTCTCAATAAATGTGGGGTTGTCATCACCAGAGGAGAACACTCTCAATAAATGCGGGGTTGTCATCACCAGAGGAGAACACTCTCAATAAATGTGGGGTTGTCATCACCAGAGGAGAACACTCTCAATAAATGCGGGGTTGTCATCACCAGAGGAGAACACTCTCAATAAATTGGTTTAAATAAGATAATGAGAGCCATCATGAAATGGAACTTTATATAAAACAAAATATATAAAACAACATACTTTATTGAAAATAATATATAAACAAACATACTTTATAGCCAACAACATATAGAAAAAAAACATACTTTATATCCAACAAAGCCATCAACAATATAAATAATTGCAGTAACTATACTTGGGGAAAGACAAAAAACCATTTTTTTAATCAAAACATCTATTTCCATTGCATTAGTCAAGGATATTTTTGCTGTGACAGAGCTTGGCTGCAGCTGGAAAAAAACACATTAAAATAATAACATAGTATCAGAAAAAACATAAAATATAAATTTTGTTTGAACAAAACAACTCAGCAAATATAAAGTTAAATTTAAAATAAATGAGAAAAAAGTTATTTATCAAAAAGTAAAATGATGCTTAAAAAAAAAGATAAAAACAATACAATTTTTTTTTAATGTTTTTTTTTATTCTGATTCACTCCCAACAAGGCTTGCAGCCTTGTTGGGAGTGAATCAGAATAAAAAAAGTTGTGAGCAACCACTATTAAGTTGGGAGTTACTAGAAAAAGTTAAGGAGATACAAACTATAATTTTCCAGATGCTAATTAAGGAAAGAAGACCATACTTAATTAAAAATAATTAACTTAATTAAAAATACATCAATGTTGAATCAAAAGATTTTACCAAAATGAATGCTAAACTTCTGATGTTCAGGCTCAAACAGTGAAATTTGTTGGATAAAAATGTGAACAGATCAGAGAAAGCACCACTAAACAGATTCCAACTTCTTCAGTCAGAAAAATGGCCTGTGCTTCTGCAACAATTATCCTTTTAAGGCTTTTATTGGTATCACATGTAACCTGAGGGAACAGCACCTATTTATAAAAAAGTCATCCTGGACTCCAGCCTTAAAGCCAATTTGCTTCACAATGACAACAACTACACATCCATTCTGAAGGCTCACTGTGTATTTCAAAGAAAGTTACACCAGTGTCAATATATTGCTGAATGCTTTGAAGTTTGACTAGTATTAATGGGAATCCATCAGAGACTTCAAACTATGACAGAAAGGACTGGCCACAATAAAGTGAATTTTTTGTGGACAAGAGCAATGTGATGTGGGATCAACTGATAAACAACATAAAAAGCTTATTTACTACTGCACATCAAGTTAGGCTTTATCAAGCTATTTGTTACTATTCTTGAAAAAAAAAATTTAAATGACTCTAAGATCTTTTTCCAAAACCCTCTAAGGCTAATGTTTGAACTAGTATCTCCGATGGATCACAAACCAAGAAACTCCTGAACAGGATGAAGAGTGGCTTTGTTTTAGTTGTTCCTGGCTTCCTGGGTAATCTTGAGGTTGAAAACTATATGGAGCTGTTTTAGATTCTCATAAAAGACTACATCAAAATGGAATGCAGAACGTCACTCGAAGTCTATATCCTTGACAGCTATCCCAATAAATTTAAGGAAAACATGGGAGCTTACTCATAGAAGCAAGGTGAGCAATTTTATTAAGATTTATTGGACTTTGAATGTTGTTAACAAGGAGATATAATGAAAACATGATGGGGAACTGCATTTGGATATCTTATGAAAGTAATTTACAGTATTTTTGCATATCTAGAAAATCTACTTATTTACGAGGTGTGTTCAAAAATTAAGGTGACTTTGTATTTTTAAGAAAAAATATTTATTTATTTATCAATATTTATGTTGTCCCCTTCAAAGTAATCCCTCTCAGATACAATACACTTATGCCAACAGTTTTTCCAATCCTTAAAGCACTTCTCATAAGCACTTTTCGGAATAGCCTTGAGCTCTTCCAGTAATGTCGTCTTTATCTCTTAAATTGTTGCAAATCTCCGTTCTTTCATAGGTCTCTTATCTTTCATAGTTTTGGGAATAAGAAAAAGTCATATGGAGCCAAATCCGGTGAATATGGTGGCTGAGGCACGATTGTGGTGTTGTTTTTGGCCAAGAAATCTCTCACAAACAAATATGAGTGAGCAGGGGCATTATCGTGATGCAAAAGCCATGAATTGTTTTTCCACAATTCTGGACATTTTCTTCGTATTGCTTCTGGCAAACAGCGCATAACTTAGATAAAGACAATACTATTTATTGACCGTACAACGATATGGTAAGAACTCCTGATGCACCGCGCCATGGTAATCGAAGAAAACAGTGAGCAAAACTTTGACATTTGATTAAACTTGTTGTGCTTTTTTCGGTCTTGGCTCACCTGGGCTCTTCCATTGGAGCAATTGGGCTTTGGTTTCGATATCATAACCATATACTCATGATTCACCACCAGTTATGACCCTTTTGAGTAAATCTGGGTCGTCGTTGACATCATTCAACAGTTCTTGAGCAATGCTTATGCGATGATTCTTTCGGTCAAAATTTAGCAATTTTGGAACAAACTTCGCTGACACATGTCTCATGCCCAAAACATTAGAAATAATTTCATGGCACAAGCCAACCGATATACCAACATCCTCAGCAATTTCTCTGATAATGATTCGACAATTTTCCAAAACAATTTTCTACACTGCTTGAACGTTTTCATCAGTTGTTGACATGGTTGGGCGTCCAGAGTGAGGCTCGTCATTGGCATCTTCCTGGCCATCTTGAAAGAGTTTGTATCACTTGTAAACATTTTTTTTACTCAGAACAGTTTCACCGTATGCCACTGTCAACATTTCAAGTGTTTTGGAGCACTTTATTTTATTTTTTACACAAAATTTGATGCAAATCCTTTGATCCATGTTTTTCGATTGCAAAAAATCGCCGAGCACGCAAAACACCTATAACCTTTACACCTCTCACAACTAAACAAAAAATGCTATACACTTGAAACTTGGTACAGATGTTTGGGAAGAGTGTACCAACATGACAAAACAAAAAAAATCGATAATCGAAAGTACGTTGCCCGCGAAATTTGAAAAGTCATCTTAATTTTTGAACACACCTTGTATGTTTAAAGTTAAGTTTTTTTAATTGATTTCTTTACTGTCTGTTTATTCAAAATGTTATTGTTGTTTTTTACCAGACCAAATGAACAAAACTACGAGTTTTTTTTGGTCTGCTTTAGTAAATATGAATTTTCTTTGTGCTTCAGCCATAAAAAGAAATTTGTGCTTAACATGAATGTAATGCAATTGAAATATAACACTTTGAATTGAAGAACAAATTTGTGTTACTTAGTTAAATTATCTATCAATTTTTATTTAATTTTCAATGTTATGAAAATAACAATTTACAAAATAATTTAAGGAAATAGTCTTGGTGTTATGAAAATAGCAATTTTTTTAAATCAAAAAAAATAAATTGAACAAAATCACAAAAAAAATTAACTTTTATTTTTTTTTGGTTTCTTATATTAACATTTATTTTTGAACTTTTTATGTTTTTAATAAGATTTTTTATGCAAAACAATAACAAAAACCTGCTGTGTTTAAAACCTCCAGTTGTATTTAGAAGCAATTAATAAAATCATCAGTAAATTTGAAAAAATAAAAAATTACCAATAACAAATTCTGCTTGTTTTTTAAAGGATACTGTTTCAAGACAATTCCAAATAAACCATCCGTAAGTTCAATAGACATTTTTTCTTTGTACTGTTCATAGCTAACCCTGGACTGAAGCTTAAATAAAAAATAGTAATGTATTATACTGTAGTATATTGTTACAGTAACACATTTAATAACTTTAATCAAGAAACACACAGGGGTAAAAATCCACAGTTTCCTTAAAATCAACTATTTTTTAAATGTACATTCACCTCATCAAGACAAAGAGGTCTCCTACAGACAAAGTTGATACTCATTTTTTTCTCTCTTTTTTTATCCCAGTGGTGTCATGTAAAAAATTAAAGTACCAGAATGGTCAAATAATATATATATATATATATATATATATATATATATATATATATATATATATATATATATATATATATATATATATATATATATATATATATATATATATATATATATATATATATATATATATATATTTAAACAATTTAAAATGTATTCTACAAAAAGAGTGCTCTACGTTCTTAAAAGAACAGAGCAATTACAAATGAGTAGAAAATCACTTAGCAAAATTTTTTCTTATTTAACACTGTGTTTCATCAATAAAGACTCATCAGAAATGCTGATGAAAACACAGTGTTAAATGAGAAAAAATTTTGCTAAGTGATTTTCTACTAATTTATGTATATATATATATATATATATATATATATATATATATATATATATATATATATATATATATATATATATATATATATATATATATATATATATATATATATATATATAGTACCAGAACAGCATTCCAGACTGCTCCAGTTCTATGACATCACTGTTTCAACCCTCTCTCAATTCTATAGCTCTAATGCTGAACACACAAGACAAACAAGACTGATTTAAAACAAACAAGACAAATACAAATTTTGAGAAACAAGGCTGCTGCATGAAATAACAAGATAATATTTTTATTATTAAACAATATACTGACTGCTAGAAGCAAATGGCTTAAAATTAAGTATTACTTGTGAAGTGAAAATTCACAGATAGTAAAATCTTCTCCAGGATGAACATATTTAGAGGATGCTATATATCATCTCCAGGATTATTTTGAGCTATATTTTTTATTTAATTGTTATTTTATTTTATGCAAAACCAGTTATGTTTATTAACTCATAAAAAGGAAATTAAATTATTACTTCTTTTGACTTTTTTTTACTTGTTTGTTAATTTTATTACTATTATAATTGATAGTATCCTTTATAAAACAGGTACATAACTTTTTAATCTGAAACAGGTACATGTTAGAAAATGTCCTAAAATCTTTAAATAGTAACACATGCTAAGGCTGAAAATACACAAGACAAAAGGTTTTATGGTAAAATTGTGCAGCTGTGGCGCAGAGGTTAGAGTTCTGGCTCAGAACCAAGAGTTCCAAGGTTCGAAGCCAGCCCTAGCCCAATAACCATCATTAGTAGGGAAGGAGGTGCGAACTTCCTAGTTAAATGGTCTGTTGTGGTGCTCTGTGATAAGGACTTCTGAGAGCACCATAACAACCAGAAAAATTAACAAAAAATAGAATAAAAACCTCAAATCCTTTTCATGAGAAAAAATATCTCTATACCTTTATAACTACAGCATTTGAAGTTTCACAAAAAGAGTCTTGAAGCAAAACCAATTTAAGATCTGGAAATTCAAAGGTAACTCTTATTTGAAATAACTCATTGGTATCAAAATAAACATAATCTGGTGGTAGTGTGATGACATATATATAGTATTTAATGATGTCTCTTATAAAATCCACATTTATCAGTAAAGTTCCACCTTTGACTTTAAATTTATCTAAAAATTCAAAAGACTTGTCTATAAAAACCTAATTTTATTTACAGTTAGAAAATTTTTTTCTTGAAAAAAAAACAACAAAAAAACAAAACAATACAATATTGTGTGCTTCCTTCTTTTGCATCACAATTATAAATAACACTAAATTTGTTCTTTTCTTCACTGAGGTCTTTATTTTCAGGTGTTAACTTTTCTTCCGAAAATTGTTCAAACATCCTACAAATAACAATACTACTTTTAATAGTAAAAATATGTTTGCAATTTAATTTATTTAAAAATGTTATACATTACTATTTAAGAAATGCAATACATTCTCATTTTTTCATATAACAATTTACAACATTTATATAAAACCATTCCCATAATGCATATGTGATTATATTTGTGTAGTAGAGTACTGTAGTGAATAACATTTAATGCAGGGTTTAAATTAAGGACACTATACTGAAATTCGGGACTATAGCTGAAAGCAATATACAAAAAGATGCAGTGCAAGGATTTTAAACACTTATAGAGGATTACATAATTTAAGATAAAATTATAATAAAATGCAATGACAACCAAGAATTTAAAATGGTAACCAGGTAACTAGGGCTTAAGATAAAATCAAGTTTGTTATAAAAATTTATATGAAAATATAGAAGTTATTAATAAACTTAAAAATATGTTTCTAAAATTAATTAACAAAATTAAAAATAAAAAACAATAAAGGCTACTTTTTGAAGAAGAAATTTGAATAAGGACGAAGGTCAGTCACAATAATTTCTTTTAAAGCCAACTTTACTGAAACTTTATCATCAACAAAAACTTTCAATGTAAACTTTGGACAGCACAGCTCACAAATATTAACTTGCTCAGAAATATACTTCTCCTAAAATAATTTTAGCAACAAATATATTCTTAAAAAAGGTTACAAACAAAATTTGTCAAAAACATTCAGCTATAATTGCACCAATGTTAAAAATATACAATTGTGGCCTTAAAAAAGGATGCGATACCTTAAAAAGAACATTGCTTGAAACAATAAATTTGATTAGTTCACATTTAATATTCACATCAACACTATCTGTTCCTTCAACTTGATTAGATTTTATTATAGCCGAAATTAACCTTTTTTGTGTTTCTCCTACACAAATATTGACAAATAAATAACAATTAAACAAATTTACTTGAATTTTATGTAAATTTAAAAAAATAATTTTAAATACCTTTTTCAAAAAAATTTGCTTGAAACATACACATAAAGAGTTGTATATGCTTTTCGTTTAAATGTACCTATGGAAAAAATTAGTAAGAAAAAACTGACTTAACAGTTAAGATCTGGGTATTATTTTGAATCTGAATATACCCTGTAAAAAAAAGTAATCAACTTAGTATTTCAAACAGAGATGGATCATAGATATTAAAAAATAATGATATAAAGAAATAAGCATTTACAAAACTAAATAACTTACAATAATTGGATTTATATGAACATCTATTTTTAAATTTTGGACTGGTGTTAACCTAGATTGATCTTGTGGTAAAACAGATTGAACAATTTGTAAACATGGATTTAACTGGTCAGCAACTTTGCTTACTGATGTCTTATCAACCCTTGTTTTTTTTAAAAAAAATATTAAAGAAAAAATATGATGAAAAACAATATTTAGTCATAAAATATAGCTTAAAATAAATCTTACATTGATAAACTCATCTCACTTATTTCAACTGTAAAATTATTAACCAGTATCAATGGTGAATTCTTAATAACACATCTGTCAAAGTTAGCCAATAGGTATTTATTTGATACTGATGTTTCAGGATAAACAACCAAAGAGGAAACAATTTCAATATGTAGCTGGAAATAAGTGATCTAAAAAAAGGTTTTCACATGTCATTTTCTTATTTAAACATGGTATTATGAAAAAGCTCATAGTAACTGAGCAGTTTCTGATGACCCATGTGCTGAAATGTGTGAAAAAGTACTTATTATTGTTAAAAAGTGTTTGTTTAAAAATATTTGATATTGGTTAAATTGCATTACACTGCAAATTCAGTATGTTTGATGTTTGCATTCTAGCTTTATGTCAGAGGAGAGAATTATTATCTTGCACTTCTATGATGCAGTTGCTATAAAAAAAATTTCTTTAGGAAGGTCATACTTGATAAAGATTGTTCTTTATAAAATCCCTCTAAAATTTCTCTTTTGAGGCTCAAAATGATATACATTAGGAACAAAATAATTTTGGTAAAAAATGAGACCTACTATATTGTTGGGTGTCTTCGTGCAGGAACTTTTTTTAGAACTAGCACTAATAAGAATTTATAAACAATCAGGTCACAAAAGTTCATCATTTGTGACCACAGGAGATGAAATTTTACAAAAATATTTTCAGTCTCACCCTAATATATATAAATATACAGGATGCATACGGTATTTTAGTATATCCATACAGGTGGCTGTAATTTATAGAGAACAATTTTTTTTCCTTAGATCATCAATAGAGGACTATAAAGACAACACAAAAAATGAAGAGACATGCAGTTATTGTTGCTATAAGCGTAAAATACACCGATTTAGAAATCTCCAATTTTCTCAACTGTGTCCAATCATTCGTACATAAGGTTCGTTGTGAATTGGAAACATCAACTGGCAATGTAGAACTGTTACAAAACGCAAAAGACATGAGGATGTTTGGGCACTACTAGAAACACACAATTTGTCCAACAAGTACAAGAGATCATTCACAAAAGCCCTTCAAAGTCCATGAGGAGCATTACGAGGGACCTTAATATCTCTAAGGGCCTAATCCTTCAAGTTGTCTACAAAGATCTCCACTATAAGTCCTATGTTAAACGCAAAGGACAGTTTATGTCAGCACATACTCGGAATCAGAGACTTATTTGAAAAAAAAGTCTCTTGAACAAGCTTAAGCACCCTGTAGTGCCTGACATGTTATGGTTTTTTTCTGACAAAATAAATTTTGACCAAAACCAAAAAGTTAATCAGAGAAGTGACAGGTGATTATGCTTAAATCCTACAGAGATTCCCTGTGTTATGCACATGAAGTTTCCTGCAACTGTCATGGTTTTAAGAGTTGCAAGCAACAAAGGACATGTTATGCCACTTCACTTCTTTCAACAGGGGATTCGGGTGATTGCTGCCTCCTACATCGAGGTTTTAGAAACAGTTGTGAAACCCTGATTACGTATTCCAGCAAAATTTTATGATCACATCACCCAAAACTTATGGCCACCTAGCTCCCCAGATCTTTATGCCCTTGATTATTATGTATGGGGCGCGGTTGAGCAAGAGACCATTAAACATCCCCAGAACACTATTTCACTGCTGAAGGATGCTATAACAACCACAATGATCAACATGAACAAAGAGCAGTTGATTCGGGCGTGCAGTCGCCTCCAATTGAGTCCGTTATTGCCACTAATCGGGATTTTATTGAATAATTATATAGTCTAAGAATCAATTAACGTTGTATAAAAATTTCATGGAACTATAATAAATTTTGAAAAAAATATGAATAAATAAATTTTAATATTAATTTATCCTCAATTACCGTATGCACTAGGGTGTGTCAATTTGACTAAAACCCAAAATTTTCAAAAAAAGAAATTTTATAGTGAAATTATGGTAGAATTTCATAAATGAAATACTTTTAAAAATTAATTAAATAGTAATACTTTTAAAAATTAATTAAATTAATTGGTAGCTACATTTTTTTGGGTTTTTATGTATTATACTTGCTAATATTTTGAAAACGTTAAAACAATGACGTATTTCATTTAAATCGTATTTTGTTTCTAAAAATTTAACTTTAAGTGGAAGAAATTTATTTCGGACCTATAAGGAGATATTTTCAAAACTTAAACATTTAGCTTAATAAAAATAAATTAAAAACAAAATTACTTGGATTATTGAAAAATTATATTTTAATAAAAATAATGGCACTAAAAATCACAAGAAATTTATCAGCTACTCACTTAAGTAGATATGTTGGAAATGGAAACCATCTAAGCTCCCTACTGCAAGGGACATTTTAAGATATGGATTATTTTTAAGAGTGACCAGTGACCTTAATAAAAGAAACTATATTGTCGATAAATTAGTTAATGATATATATTTTATCCTGTAAATGTTTAATAATGTTATGTTCAGAGTATGGTTGTGATCATGGCTGTAAAAAGCAGGCGCATATTAAATGTATGTGTGTACGCGAAAACAAAATTCCTGTTGTAGAACTCAGCTTTATCAAGTTACAGAGAGCCAAAGTTGGAAGTTTTGCCCATTACTATATTGGTGGAGTTGACACAATAGAATCAAAAAAAATAAAACAAGTTGTAAAGAGAAAAGAGGAGTATCAGCAGCAATTAGAAATGAGAGTTAAAAAATTTAAAAAAGAAGAAAAACTCAACCAAATGATTCTAGAAGATTACAATTGCCTTGCACAGATTAATCAAGTAATAATAAAATATGCTTGTTAGTAAATAATTCTAATATAACTATTTTTAAAGAAATTAAATATTGATAAGGTGATTTATAAAATTATCTCAATATTTTTTACTTTTTAGATTTTTCATAAACCATTAACTTTTTTTTTTTTTAGATTAAAAAAACAAAGAAAGTTGATTCAGAACCAAATATTTCTAAAGAACCAGAACCTTTCAATAATATTGTAAAGGTTTATAACAGAATGAACATAACAAACATTGCACTTTCTAGTATGAGGCATCACACTAGCTTACGAAAAAACACAGAAATAGCGAAACCAGCACTTATAGATGCAAAAATTATAACAAAGAATGATACATCGATGATTATTGATCACAGCAAAGTTAAAAGGGCGCAAGAGAAGTTAGCAATCGAATAAGATAATAAATTTAATAAAAATCTTGAAAATAATGTGATTTCCTGTATTTTTTTCAATGGCAGGAAAGATAATACAATTGTATTAACAGAATTCAATGATAGGTATTTCCCAGGTCTTCTTAAGGAAGAACATTATTCTGTTGTTACTGAACCAAGTGGTAAACATCTATTTCATTTTGTTCCTGATAAAACTGATCACAGAAAACATGCTGAGGTAATTGCAGAACACTTGGTTAACTGGTTGGTAGAAAGAAATTTAGAAACACAACTTAAAGCTATAGGAGGAAATAGTACAAATGTAAATACTGGTTGGGAAGGTGGTGTGATGTAATGGGTGGAAAGAAAATTGAGAAAGAGATTAGTGTGGATTGTGTGCGATCTTCACACAAACAAGTTAGGGTTAAGACATTTAATTATAAGCTTAGACAGCCCAACAAAATGTGGAAATAAGTGGTCAGGACTACTGGGAAAAATGTTAAATACAGCAACAAGTCTTGAAATTAATTCCAGATTTACAAAAATTGATGTTGGGCCTGCATTAATTGTTCTAAGTCCTGAAGTAATAAAAGGTTTAAGTTCTGATCAGAGCTATGCTTACAGAATAACAAAAACAATGAGGTCTGGTGATTTACCTCAACAGTTAGCAATGCTAGAAATAGGACCTGTTTGCCAAAGCAGGTGGCTCACAATAGCAATAATATTTTGCAGGATATGGGTTTCTCAGCATAGCCTATATGGCACCAAGCTTCAAAATCTTACATAGATTGTCGAATTTATTGTAGGTGTTTATATTCTGAACTGGTTTAACATAAAAGTTAAATCATGTTGGGTTGAGGAACCAAGACACATTTTATACCAATTAGAACTCCACAGAAGCCAGAGGAAACCAGCTCTTGATATTGTAATGCCCATAATTAAAAGATCACCTTGGTATGCACATTCAGAAGCTGTTTTACAAGCTATGATATGCAGCGAGAGTAAAGTAGAAAGAGTTCAAGCTGTGGAAATTATTCTTAAGCTTCATGAAATATCACAAGTAAACTAATGCTTGTGTTTAAAGCCATAGACATCGAAGAACACCGGATATTAACATTGATGCTAAAGATCTTTTTAGTTTGATAGACTGTAGCAATAATATAACAGAACCACCTTTGACATGCAATTTTACATCTTCTGATATTAAAGATTTAGTTAATAACCCAATGGTTGTTCCCCATTGGAGTTCACATACACAATCAGCTGAGAAGTGTGTACAGTTTGTCACAGAAGCTGCAGGACATGTCCACACATCAGAAAGAAGAGAAGCTTACATAAAAGCCTAATTCATTAGCAGAGAGTTGATGTCTGCTAATAGGAGCAAGAAAGACATGATGGGACTTCTAAGCTATACTTAAATATTTTATTGATTTTTTAATTATTATTTTTTGTTAAGCATAAAAAGTATAACATTCTGTTGTTGTTTTAATATTTAACCTATATGTTTTATATTATTATATTTAATAAACACTTAATATTTAATAGATTATTTATTATTTTAATAAAATAGTAGTGTTTTTTTTTAAATAATATTAGTTGTCATACCAATTTTTATTTTTATAGACAAAAATATGTGCCTAACATGAATTTATTTTATGAGAAAGCTCAAGTTATAAGAATTACAAAAACTATAGGTCTATCTAACAATAGGATGCCAAACCGCCTCAAGTGTAAAAAGCCCTACAACGTACTTTTTAAAAATAACTATATAAATAATAATAAAAAATAATATGTATTTTGTACAAAAGGTAAGGGTTTTTATAATGATATTCTTACATATTTAACACATATAAGCAGAATTTTTCAAAAGTTTTTTTGACTTTCGCAATAAATAGAATACTTAAAGAAATTAAAAATAAAACTGTTCGACTCTAGGCAGAAAAAGTTATTCAAAACAGCTAAACATTTTTTTGTGGGTGCTCACCAAGTAGTTTGTAGAATAGTCATAAAAA